CCCATCCTGCTGCCTCTTCTCTCCTTCCACTCCTTTTACACCTCTTCCGTCTCTCCATTTTTCTCTTCTCCCTATCTCCCCTTTTCACCTTCTCCCTCATTCCTTCTCTCCTCCCTTTCTCCCATCCCCTCCTCACCGTAAGTAAATAACTAGTACCATCAGTATACAATATATACTATATAAATCTGTATTACATAAACAACATAAGTCTATTTTCATATATATAATATATATATATATATATAATATATATATATTATATATATATTCTTGTCTCATACATACATGCACACATTTATACATACATGCATACATACATCTATTCATGGATACAAATACTCATAAATATGCATATACACATAAATACACATTTTTTTATTTTTATTATCACACTGGCCGATTCCCACCAAGGCAGGGTGGCCCGAAAAAGAAAAACTTTCACCATCATTCACTCCATCACTGTCTTGCCAGAAGGGTGCTTTACACTACAGTTTTTAAACTGCAACATTAACACCCCTCCTTCAGAGTGCAGGCACTGTACTTCCCATCTCCAGGACTCAAGTCCGGCCTGCCGGTTTCCCTGAACCCCTTCATAAATGTTACTTTGCTCACACTCCAACAGCACGTCAAGTATTAAAAACCATTTGTCTCCATTCACTCCTATCAAACACGCTCACGCATGCCTGCTGGAAGTCCAAGCCCCTCGCACACAAAACCTCCTTTACCCCCTCCCTCCAACCTTTCCTAGACCGACCCCTACCCCGCCTTCCTTCCACTACAGACTGATACACTCTTGAAGTCATTCTGCTTCGCTCCATTCTCTCTACATGTCCGAACCACCTCGACAACCCTTCCTGAGCCCTCTGGACAACAGTTTTGGCAATCCCGCACCTCCTAACTTCCAAACTACGAATTCTCTGCATTATATTCACACCACACATTGCCCTCAGACATGACATCTCCACTGCCTCCAGCCTTCTCCTCGCTGCAACATTCATCACCCACGCTTCACACCCATATAAGAGCGTTTGTAAAACTATACTCTCATACATTCCCCTCTTTGCCTCCAAGGACAAAGTTCTTTGTCTCCACAGACTCCTAAGTGCACCCGCTCACCCTTTTTCCCCCATCAATTCTAGGATTCACCTCATCTTTCATAGATCCATCCGCTGACACGTCCACTCCCAAATATCTGAATACATTCACCTCCTCCATACTCTCTCCCTCCAACCTGATATCCAATCTTTCGTCACCTAATCTTTTTATCCTCATATACTAGAAATACAAGAGAGAGAGAGAGAGAGAGAGAGAGAGAGAGAGAGAGAGAGAGAGAGAGAGAGAGAGAGAGAGAGAGAGAGAGAGAGAGAGAGAGGCAGGTGAGGGGGTACTCACTTATCTGTCATTCAGAAAACGGGAGGCGGAAGAGGAAATACTGAGTGGTGTGGCAGCCAATGTTTCCTCTTCAGGTGTGTCTAACCCCCATTACCCATCACCACCATTCCCCATATCTCCCGTTCTCCATCACCAATCACCTCTATTCCCCATCGCCTATCATTCCCATTCTTCATCAGCAATCATCCTCATTCCCCATCACCAGCCATCCCCATTTCCCATCAGCAATCACCCCCATTCCCCATTACCAGCTGGTACTTGCCGTACCTCAGTTTCCTGCAATTTCCCGTTGACCCCCCTTGTATATATGTGTTTTTGTAGGTTCCTGTGGCCCTCCCTACGTCCTGACCTATTTCCCTCCCTGCTTCCTTATCTCCTCTCCAACTTCCCTCGTCTCCCTTTCCCTTCTCCCTTATCACGCTATTCTGTTTTCAATGCTCTTTTGCACACACACACACACACACACACACACATACACACACACACACACACACACACACATATATATAATATATATATATATATATATATATAATATATATATATATATATATATATATATATATATATATAATATATATATATATAATATATATATAATTCCTTATCAGACATAAACAGAGATATACACCACAGCACCGTATCATCCTTTGCGGATGATACTAGGATCTGCATGAGGCTGTCATCTGCTGAGGACGCGGTTAACCTCCAAGAAGATATAAACAAAGTTTTCCAGTGGGCAACGGTAAACAATATGATGTTCAATGAGGACAAATTCCAACTACTCCGTTATGGAAAACTGGAGGAGATAATAACTAGAACAGAGTATACTACTGACTCCGGCCATACAATAGAGCGGAAAAATAATGTAAGGGACCTGGGAGTAGTAATGTCTGAGGATCTCACTTTCAAGGATCACAACAGTGCCACGATCGCACGTGCAAAGAAATGATGAATGATAGGATGGATAATGAGAACTTTCAAAACGAGAGATGCCAAGCCCATGATGATCCTTTTCAAATCACTTGTTCTCTCTAGGCTGGAATACTGCTGTACATTAACATCTCCATACAAAGCAGGTGAAATCGCAGATCTAGAGAGAGTACAGAGATCCTTTACTGCACGTATATGTTCTGTCAAGCACCTTAACTACTGGGAACGCTTGGAAGCACTTGACTTGTACTCGTTGGAACGCAGGAGGGAGATATATATCATAATCTACACTTGGAAAATCCTGGAAGGAATGGTCCCAAATCTGCACACAGAAATCACTCCCTACGAAAGTAAAAGACTGGGCAGGCGATGCAAAATGCCGCCAATAAAAAGTAGGGGCGCCATTGGTACACTAAGAGAAAACACCATAAGTGTCCGGGGCCCAAAACTGTTCAACAGCCTCCCATCAAGCATTAGGGGAATTACCAATAAACCCCTGGCTGCCTTCAAGAGAGAGCTGGACAGATACCTAAAGTCAGTGCCGGATCAGCCGGGCTGTGGCTCGTACGTCGGACTGCGTTCGGCCAGCAGTAACAGCCTAGTTGATCAGGCCCTGATCCATCGGGAGGCCTGGTCATGGACCGGGCCGCGGGGGCGTTGATCCCCGGAATAACCTCCAGGTATAACCTCCAGGTATATATTGTCTGAGGCGAGGAAGGCCAGGAAGGCGCAACTACAACAAGAAACAACTACAACAACAGCTATAACAACTACAACCACAACAACAACTACAGCAATAACAACTACAACATCAATAACTACCACCACAACAACAATTACAGCAATAACTACAACAGCTACAAAAGCAACAACTACAGCAACGACAACTACAGCTGCAGCTACAACAACTATAACCACAATAGCAAATAACAACAACTACAGCAACAACCATAACATCAGCAACAACTACAACACTACACGTCAAAACAAGTAACATGCTGACTTAACATAAACATGAGTGGCTGTCATCAGCTGGACACACTGACGTGAGGTAGAGTAACAGGTGGTTCCATCCACCTAACTGCACCATCTGGCAGCCATTATGGGATTTGGAAACCTCTGGTGACCTTAATAATTCATGTAAATACGCCCGCACGCGCACAAACACACATACGCATACAGGTACACACACGCCCACGCACCCAAACACACATACTCATGCGTGTACACATGCGTGCACACACACGTGCACACGTAACACATGTTGAAAACCAAAGTCAGAACAACGAAATTAATGCAGTGGATTATAAAAATAGGGATTACGAAGATTTTTAAAGAGGAAAGATTGTCATGGGTAGACGAGAAGTAAAAATGTTATATATATATATGTAAGAGATGATAGATAAGATCCTGGAATACAGATAGTGACGATGGGTTATCTGGAGTATACCTGGAGAGGGTTTCGAGGGGTCAACGCCCCCGCGGCCCGGTCTGAGACCAGGCCTTGTTAGTTAAGGTTAGTTCTATCAGTATAACTCCACTGAAGACGGGGCACACCAGTCCCGAATGAAAATGTAGAATATAACTTTGGTGTATCTGTGTCTGGAATTAGGAATAATATTAGGAGAGAAGTAAATAATTAAACTGAATGTTATAGGAATGCAGTTAGAAGCCTGAGTAAATCTATAACCCACTGTGATAACATGGAAGTAGATAAATATGTTTAATGGAGTAACTTGCAATGTGAACATTGACTGATGTTGTAACCAACTTGGGTGGTACAAGTACTTTGAACATTGACTGATGTTGTAGTAGCCAGACTTAGACTTGGTTACAAGTACTTCTGACAGTCTGATGTTGTAGTAGCCAGACTTAGACTTGGTTACAAGTACTTCTGACAGTCTGATGTTGTAATAGCCAGACTTAGACTTGGTTACAAGTACTTCTGGCAGTCTGATGTTGTAGTAGCCAGACTTAGGCTTGGTTACAAGTACTTCTGGCAGTCTGATGTTGTAGTAGCCAGACTTAGGCTTGGTTACAAGTACTTCTGACAGTCTGATGTTGTAGTAGCCAGACTTAGACTTGGTTACAAGTACTTCTGACAGTCTGATGTTGTAGTAGCCAGACTTAGACTTGGTTACAAGTACTTCTGACAGTCTGATGTTGTAGTAGCCAGACTTAGACTTGGTTACAAGTACTTCTAGCAGTCTGATGTTGTAGTAGCCAGATTTAGGCTTGGTTACAAGTACTTCTGACAGTCTGATGTTGTAGTAGCCAGACTTAGGCTTGGTTACAAGTACTTCTGGCAGTCTGATGTTGTAGTAGCCAGACTTAGGCTTGGTTACAAGTACTTCTGACAGTCTGATGTTGTAGTAGCCAGACTTAGACTTGGTTACAAGTACTTCTGACAGTCTGATGTTGTAGTAGCCAGACTTAGACTTGGTTACAAGTACTTCTGACAGTCACACAGATGACGATCAACCCAAATGTAAAGTATGTGGCCAGGCATATGGTCACTATCTTGAACACTATGTGCTTGATTGTCCACTTATTGAATAATAGAGATATCGACAGTATAAAAACCTATATGACATGTCAAGATATCTTATTAATGAAAATAAGATATCAGATATATTACGCAAATTTCCTAAATTTGCTTGTAACATGTTGATAAGTCAACTGTAACTATAAATCCAGATGTACTCCTGTTAACCCTTTTGGGGCCTAGTTCCTAGGCCTTTTGTGTATCCATATGCTGTTGCGCTACCATCCACAGGATGGATATGAGGTGCACAATAAACTAGCCACTTCGGTGGCAAAATCTAAAAATCCTGTTCCAGTGGCCGTCCCTCTATACTAGTGGCCGTCCCTCTATACTAGTGGCCGTCCCTCTATCCTAGTGGCCGTCCCTCTATCCTAGTGGCCGTCCTTTTATCCTAGTGGCCGTCCCTCTAACCCAGTGACCGTCCCTCTATTCTAGTGACCGTCCCTCTATCCCAATGACCGTCCCTCTATTCTAGTGACAGCCCCTCTAACCCAGTGACCGCCACCTCTATCCCAGTGACCGTCCCTCCCCCTCTACCTATCCAGGTGACTTCCTGAGGGGGCAGAGTGAGGGTGATGGCCGTGATTGTGAGGGCCCGCTTGTAGCTCAGTTCCCAGTTTGTTACAGGACAGGTGAGGTGCGCATTCCACGTCCTGGCCGGCGCACATCACGCACGTAGCACGCGCGCCCTCGCCACCACCACCACGTGCGATCTCTACGCCAACAGCACCACCACCACCCACCACCACCACCACCACCACCACCAGTACTACTGGCACTACCAACAACCACCATTACAACCTCTCGCCACAAATCGTTATCCCATCAACGTGATTTCATGTTCTAGAGGCATGTGATAAAAAGCGGAATTCATTATACAGAAGTTTACGACCAAATTTTTATATAGAACTTTAAAAAAGTATTCATTATACATAACTATAAGACAGTATTCATTATACATAACTATAAGACAGTATTCATTATACAGAACTCTTAGAGGAATTAATTATGTCCTCTAATTCTCGGCTTGAGTCATCGCAAGAGTGAAATCCTCAATTAGAAGCCTCTAGTCTTGGAGGCTATTAGGGCCAGGTGGTGGCCCCGTGCCATGTGGCCCTCAGGTTTCTTATACAGGTGCTACTTTCCCTAGAGGCTGTGAGGTGGCCCTTCAATGAGTAGGGCTAAGCAAGAGGTTGACTACTCTCCTGTACTCGAGTACCACTCCAAATTACTACTCAAGAGTCTGCACTTTCCTCCTCAATTCCTCAATGAACACGTAAGTACGAATTTTTAATATATATATATATATATTATATATTATATATATATATATATATATATATATATATATATATATATATAACAACACTAGCCAAGGAGTCGAACTCATGCTGTTTTGACCCGGTATAAGGGGATATTTAGGCCTAACCAGCTGCTGTAGGCATACCGTAGGCTTATTTTAACAGGTGGGAGATATTTTTCTAAGAATTAATTGAACACATGAATGTTTTTTGTTAAGAAATTATAATTTATATTGCGACGTGGGTTATTTAGGAGGAAAATGATAAATATATTGATAGGTTTTGAGAATGGGAAAATAAACCACTTGCCGGAAACTGATTACGCCTTGACGGGAGAACAGTTGTCCCAACCAGCTGGCAAAGAACGCTTGGCACCCAGGACAACTTTTGACACCCAGGACAACACTTGACACCCAGGACATCACTTGACACCCATGACAACACTTGACACCCAGGACAACACTTGACACCCAGGACATCACTTGACACAATACAACACTTGACACCCAGGACATCACTTGACACATAGGACAACACTTGACACCCAGGACATCACTTGACACCCATGACAACACTTGACACCCAGGACATCATTTGACACATAGAACAACACTTGACACCCAGGACATCACTTGACACCCAGGACAACACTTGACACCCAGGACATCACTTGACACCCAGGACATCACTTGACACATAGGACAACACTTGGCACCCAGGACATCACTTGACACCCAGGACAATACTTGACACCCAGGACATCACTTGACACATAGGACAACATTTGACACCCAGGACATCACTTGACACCCAGGACAACACTTGACACCCAGGACATCACTTGACACAGGACAACACTTGACACCCAGGACATCACTTGACACATAGGACAACACTTGACACCCAGGACATCACTTGACACCCAGGACAACACTTGACACCCAGGACATCACTTGACACCCAGGACATCACTTGACACATAGGACAACACTTGGCACCCAGGACATCACTTGACACCCAGGACAATACTTGACACCCAGGACATCACTTGACACATAGGACAACATTTGACACCCAGGACATCACTTGACACCCAGGACAACACTTGACACCCAGGACATCACTTGACACAGGACAACACTTGACACCCAGGACATCACTTGACACATAGGACAACACTTGACGCCCAGGACATCATTTGACACCCAGGACAACACTTGACGCCCAGGACATCACTTGACACCCAGGACAACACTTGACACCCAGGACATCACTTGACACAGGACAACACTTGACACCCAGGACATCACTTGACACATAGGACAACACTTGACACCCAGGACAACACTTGACACCCAGGACAACTGTACACACAGGAACGTCCTACCTTCTCTGTGAACACGTACAGTAACACCTGGTACAGGGACCTTCTTCAATTTCTATTGTTATGAGTAAATGGTTTAGAAAAACCGACAAGTTGATAAATAAAACACTTATACAACACTTGGGTATCTTTACTGAGGAACGAAGATACCCAGATCTTGCACAAGTATCTTATTTAGCAATTTCCATAGTGGAAATTAGGAGAAATTGGTGAAATATTATCTGGTCTCAAATACCCATCTATATCCACTAAAAACAACTAAAAAATTAATATATAAAAAACACGAACTTAGATTATGTCCATAAGAATTTTACACACGCTAAAAATCTAGGCCATTTTTTCAGACACGCTAAAAGGCTTTAATGTGTAATTGGTAATAGTAATTTCTTCAAATATGTAACTCTGGGAAATGTTTATGATGCTATTTGTCGAAAATGAAATCATAAATATATGATTATTATTTTTTTTTCTTTTTAACAAGTCGGCCGTCTCCCACCGAGGCAGGGTGACCCAAAAAAGAAAGAAAATCCCCAAAAATAAAATACTTTCATCATTCAACATTTTCACCTCACTCACTCATGATTATTACTATTGTGAGGAAATTCTTAATTAATGATTGTTTAACATTTGAGGAAGGGGAAGAGCAACCTGCACTCGCGTAAATACGATTTCTTGAGTGATGTATGTAGTATAGATGGGTAAACTGTGGCTGCTAGGATGAAACAACAGGACTCTGCTGTAGGAGCAGATAAGGAATCCAGAAGGTTGAAGGTGGTATCAAATATCGTCAAGAATGTAAACGAGACATAACTGTACCACTAACACATATACTGTGGAATCATTTCGCTCTGTTTTCGACTGAAGAAGCTTGCTGTGCAGGCGAAAAGTGTCTGCAGTAACGATACACAGGTATTGTACATGTGGCTTACACATTAGATTCTTGTGTAAGACAGAGTTTGTTTTTTCCATCACATAAGTTCAACTTGTCATCAGTTCTCAGCGTTCAGGAAGGCTTCATAGCTGCTCGGGTCACTTTGCTCTTGGTCGAGTGCCTGGCACTCATTAGTGAAGTTAGTGGAGTGCCACTCTCCCCACAGTCTAAGAACCCAGCATCTCTTGACGGCTTGAGTACCAATCTCCCCACAGTCTAAGAAGCCAGCTTCTCTTGACGGCTTAAGTAGTGGGGATATTTTCCCTTTCTAATAAATTTGTTGCAAGTCATAGCCACAGAATTGAAACTAATTAAAGATATGCCTTGTGAAATGTGAGCTGCTTTGAACTTATATTTTTACGTTGTGATGATGGCTCCTGCAACCTGAAATTGAATTATTCTTTGCAGTTAACAGTTCGGTAATGATGGTAAAAAAAAAATGATAATGTTAGCAGGGTTTTGTGTAGAAACCACTGCATAACAAAACGGTTCCGTTGTTTCATAATTCAAACAGATGAATGTCTTGTCTAGAAGAAGTTAGTCCGTGCAGGTGGTCTGTTGACGTACTGTGTGTGCAGCCATCTTGACTGCCTTGTTTTGAAAGCTCCCTCGGACCTAACAATATTTTGACACACTCTCTACTACATAGAGGAATTTGAGTCATACACAATACACATTATAATTTCTGCCTTTATAGTTCAACATCATATGTCTATGAGAATTACCCTGAAATATTATTATCCCAACACCTGGTATAATGTACCAGTGGAGAGTTAATTTAGACTTGAGAACAGCTGTCACGTGTTTGTAAATATACATCGTAGTATACACACACACTTACTAGTGCAGTGCACTTCCCACATCAACACACTTCATGTTTATCAATAACTGTAGTGGATTGCTTTCCCCTGAGCCACCTGAGGGTCAGACTGTTGGGATCTGCATGTGGCACTCCCGCGGTGTGTAGAGAGTGCCACGCTGCCTAATTATAAATTCTTTAGGTAATGTGATATAAAGTGTTGATATTGTTATGTTTCTGCTCTGATGATGATTTAATAACCCAAAGAATCATGACATTAAACCTAAATTATCTTAGTCGATGGTGTGTACTGATACGTGAGTTGAGAAATCATATAATTTCTTAAACACACACACACACACACACACACACACACACACACACACACACACACACATATATATATATATATATATATATATATATAAAATATATATATATATATATATATATATATATATGTCGTGCCGAATAGGCAGAACTTGCGATCTTGGCTTAAATAGCAACGCTCATCTTGCCATATAGGACAAGTGAAAATTTGTGTATGCAATAATTTCGCCAAAATCATTCTGAACCTAACGAAAAAAATATATTTCACTGTGTTTGTTTAGTATTAAATTATTGTTAACAAATCTAAAATATATTTAGTTGGGTTAGGCTAAAATAAATTGCTCTTGTTATAATAAGGTTAGGTAAGTTTTCTAAGATTCATTTGGTGCAAAATTTAAAATTTTTACATTAACATTAATGAAAAAAATATATCTTTAAATGTACAAGAGAAAATTTTAGAAAGGACTTAATTTTAAATGAGTTCTTGCTAATTGACCAGTTTTACATATTCGGCACGATATATATATATAAATATATATATATATATATATATATATATATATATATATATATATATATATATATATATATATATATATATATATATATGTATATATATAATATATATATATATATATATATATATATAATTTATTTTTGAGTTATTCACTGGGCCAGTATTGAGAAGTGTCAACTAACATTTGCGACATCAAAAAATTTAGGCCCGCGCCTCACGTTTTTCTTGTGTTTCAAAATATTTGATTTATAACACGAGAATTTTAAGAGTGACAATGTTGCCCTGGTACACAGTGCACTTGTATTGTGTTCACCTGAACTATGTTGCACGAGAACACCGTTGCAACATCTTTGGTTCCTCCAAAATCACAGAAATTTTGCAAAGAAGAACTGCACTTTGATAAATCTGTCTATAATTAATTGCATATATATATATATATATATATATATATATATATATATATATATATATATATATATATATATATATATATATATATGTCGTGCCGAATAGGTAAAACTTGCGGTTTTGGCTTAAATAGCAAAGCTCTTCTTGCCGAATAAGGTAAGCAACAATTTGTGTATGCAATAATTTCGCAAAAATCATTCTGAACCCGACGAAAAATTATATTTTATTGTGTTTATTATTAAATTACTGTAAACTTATCTAAAATATATTTAGCTGGATTAGGCTAAATTAAATTGCTCTTGTCATAATAAGGTCAGGTAAGTTTTCTAAGGTTCTTTTGGTACAAAATTATTTATTTTTACATTAACATTAATGAAAAAAATATATCTTTAAACGCATAAGAGAAAATTTTAGAAAGGACTTAAATTTCAATGAGTTCTTGCTAACTAACCAGTTTTACCTATTCGGCACGACATACGTATATTACCCACTGGTGCTGCTGCTCTTGATCCACGAAAATGGAGCTGCCCTTCTCTTCATTAGATCGGATCTGATTCTCTCTCCCGTTCCCCATCCCCAGGTGCTGCATGACTCATGAGGGTTTAG